AACGCGGGGGGGGTAAGGGCGCCGCGACCGAGAGTGGAAGGGCGAGGAAAGGGGGCAGTGAGACAGAGGGGGGTGGGGAGAATGAAATGGGGACAAGGAGTAGAGGAGAGGGCGGCGAGGGGGCACTGGAGGTGGCGATAGATAAAGACGGGTGGCCAGACATGCGGAGAGCCCTGTCCCCGGGGAGCCCCTGCCAGCGGGGGCGGGGGCTGGCCGTGCCCCCTCACCAGCCGCGCTTCCACCATCCCCAGCGGCAGAGACCCTAGCACCTCGGCCTCCTGCTCCATCGGCTGCTTACCACAGTCCGCTCGGCTTGGTTGGACAAGTGCCTTCAGCAGCAGGGGGGCTCCCCGCTCCCACATGCACCGCCCTGCGTTTTCCAGCTCCTCCACCTTTTCTTGCAGGCAGGCTAGTTCATGATGGAGCACCTGGGAGAGAAGTGTCCCAAGTCCATGTGGCCGCTGCAGCTTTGCTCCGAAGCCTCCATGCCAGCATGCGCCTCCTTATGGCCTTGGGCCCTTTTACATGGCCCTTCTCTTGCCCCCACTGCTGCTCCTCCAACTGGGGTGAGCATTATTTCTCCTGCAAAGCAAGGGGCACACATGCAGGGTGGGTAGGCTGGGACCTGGGGACACCCAACTCTCTCCAACCCTGGCACTGTGCCCACCCCCCTGCTCCAGCGTTCAGGGCCACCTGGTGGTGACTCGCAAGCCACAGGGAAGTGATGGACCCTGGGGCTGATGCCTTCCCCAGCCGTGTTGCTGGCTGAGGGTGCTGGGGTGCATGGCCCCAGCACTGGCACTGCCAGGATGCATCTGCTTCACTCCAGCTCTTCCAGCCTAACGGCTGGCTCTCTCCTTCACGGCCTGCAAGTCCTCTTGCAGGAGAGGGAGGCAACTGGAACACCAAGCACGGCATGGGGGACTAGGGGAGAGGGGGGTGGCACTCTGGTGAGACCTCTGCCTGGGAGGAGGTCCTGGCATTTCCCCTCACATGTCCCTTTGGGCATTGCTCTCACACTTGGGTCCCCTCTCCCACCCAGCTCTGCGGGCACTGGGGGACCGCTGGGCACAAGGGGGGTCCTTACCTCCAGCTGTAGCTGTGACAGCTGCTCCTCCAGCCTCCAGAGCTGCTGATGCCTCCTGTGGTACTGCTGGGCCAGGTTGTGGCTCCGGGAAGAGGAGCTAGAGACAGGTGTGAGCTCCAGTCACGGGC